CTATTCTCATTCTTGTGGTCTCGCAACCCTAAACCCTAAACCCCATCGAAAGTCATCTTGTGTTCACGCCGACTGCGAACATATGGATCCTCGCCTGGCTTGTCCGAGTTGTGAGAGTGTAAACCCCAAACCCTGCAACATCATGACGTGTGTGACCCCCCGCGCCCATGTACTCGGGCGGACCCCACACACAAACAAACAAAAAAAAAACAAGCAAACAAGCAAACAAGCAAACGAAAACGTACAAACAAACAAAAAAAACAAGCAAACAAGCAAACAAAAGCAAACAAACAAACAAACAAACAAAGAACACCAACATCACTACCGCCATTGCTGCTGCTAGCATCATCAACAACAAAGAATGATAGCAGTATTCTCCAGGGAGGTGTTGGACCGTTGTACGACCTACCAACAGGTACTAACAGACTAACACTCACGACAGTAGACGCAGTCGTCGTCGTTGCAGTCGTAACAGTTCTTAGGAATCCGTTTTGATGTCGTGTATTGGTTTTTCCGTAGTGTTAGGAGACGAGGAGATTCTCACATCCAACCCATCGAGCAGAGCTTTTGAGCTCCCTGGGCCCCATCAGACTCAGAAGCCATGCCTTGGTTCGTCTTTTCGGAGTGTCAACGGCTTGGGACTTGTACAGAAGCGGCCGTGCCCCAGAGTGGGAAGTAGCGCGGAGGAACGAGACTGCAGAAGCGGTGCGAAAACGGCTCGCACTCCTGTTGTCTTCATTTGAAGACCGAGCTTACATTGTGACAAGGCCCGGAACAAAACAACACAGCAAGTCAGTAGAGTTTGTAACAAGTTCGTATTCCCCAGTGGTTGAAAATCAATGTTTGCACTTCAAGGAGGCAGCGGGCGGGCCACAGTCTCCACAGCCCTCGCTGCAGGAGTTGCCGCCCGGCTGGAAGGATTTGGGGCAAACCCCGTAATGCGGACGGAGAGAAGATAGGCTGTGATTGAGACTTGTTGGAGGATGCCTGCTTCCACAAACGGAGCTGTCAACTGGCAGAATAGGGATGCACGCAGTTGGGGGCCGTTCGTCTTTTGAGTGAGGCGTGCACCCGGTCTTTTAGGAGCTTCGCGCCTGTAACAAGCAGCCAACCTTCTTGTGAACCAGATGTGGTTTGCTGCGCCAGAGGTGGGGATCTGGTTAATGGTCGACGTGCAAACAAGAGGTGCTTCGCTCAGACTTTTCTGGCTTTTGGCAGCACTACCCCTGCAAGTCGCACGTCCCTGTGCGCGCACATCACGCAGAGGTGGCCTTCATTAGCATAATTTCCCCCATAGATTGCGAAGGGCAAGGAGCATATTCCTCACAGAGTTCACGTCAAAGATTCAAAGTTCGTGCCGAAGTCACAAGACAATGCTGGCTACTCTGGGCACCACCATCGCCATCCGAAAAGGGTTTGCCAACTCCAGGCTCGGCATTTCTTCGGCTGACCTGGTTTGACCAGGGGGCCGAGTGGTGGCCAGCAGCAAAAACCAGCGGAAAAAGAAGCTGAAAGTGTTCCGCTTTGGCAGGAGGTGGGGCTGCGGGCCACGATAGAAGAAGACGTGCGTGCAGAGTCGGCGCTCTGCTTGGTGTAGCTGGTTGGATCACCTACGCAGCCATTTGTGTACATGACTGGTGGCGATTCCAGGCATCCGTCCCCAAAGCCGAACCAGAAGCAGTGCAAATGTTCGAGAGCGCAGCCCCCCCCCCAAAAAAAAGAAGCTCGGCGCGACTACTACTCGGCCCAGTAATGGTTGCCAAGACTCTCCACGATGACGACGCGAAGAACCAGCAAGAGGAATCTGCAGAATCACAGCCGGCTCCGTTGCAGCCATGGTCGATCGGCCCAAGATGGCTGCTCTGGCCGCTCGGCTTTGCCTGTTGTGCATGCATCGCCGCGATGATTGCCACTGCACGTAGTCACTTCTGCGAGAATCTCGAATACGACACTAGTATTGCTAGCAGCTAGTGGCGGAAGTGTTCCTTCGAGTCGGGATCCCGTCCTACATGTTTTGTTCCAACACGATCCATAGTGGCGCATGTGCTGCCTTGTTTGTGAGATAAGAAATGAGGCCATGTGGAGACGCAGCATTGCCTACATCTGACTTTGATGATCCAGGGTGTTTGGTTGCAGTGATGCCGCCCTGTCCGCCGGGGAGAGAAGTGTTTGTTTATCGATTTCGTCATGGGTGTTATCATGCTGCTGTCCCTTTTCGGGAACATGTCCACGCACACCGGATCTCCCCTCTTTGAAAAAGGTGCTGCTTGCGCGAGCTTGCCTATACGAGCCTGCACCTCCAGATGTATGCACTAACGAGTTCTATCAGACGAGACATATGGTCCGAACATATGAGATCGTCGTTTCAAATCCGTTCAGGTTTCTGCAAAGACGTCCCATATCTAAACCGCTCATTCTCGTTTTCCATTTCAACGACCGTTGGGCCTCGCTGTGGTCCTTTGAGGCCACATACGTAACACCATTTCGGATGATGCCGCCTTGTCGTCCAATCAGGCCGCGGCGTCATCAAGCAAAGGCTCAGTTGCAGCAACGGGGCTGCAACTGCAGGGTTCGTGCAAGCTCAGCAAACACATCAGAAGAGCATCCTGCTCCGGGCGTTTCTCTTAAGCGATGCTTGTCCTGTATGCATTGGATGCGAGGAACTGGTCGCCTGGGCTCGCGCGCAGAGGCGCAAAGGCCCCGCTGGCTTATCACAGCGAGCAAGTAATTGATTGGCTGTGAGAGTAGGACGTCATATGCTGAGATTCCATCGAATAATAAGAAGAGAAAGAGACGACAGCACCACAAGCCAAATGCTCCAACCTGAACACCTCATGCAGCCGGCTTTTTAACTGAAGCCGGATAGTGCGTGATCGCACCATTTGAATTTTAACATATGGATTGCAGTGCAGCGGAGCCTGCCTGGCCCTAACCTGGCACGGCTCTGGAATCTCGACTTGACACCACCATGTTGCGGCGCCATGCTCCAGCTCACACCGACATGATTCAATCGCTGAAATCACTGTTTGCTGGAGGAAGAGGCCTGCTGCAGGTGGCACCTGGAATCTACTTGGGCAACAAACAGGACGGGGCTTTGTGGCTTTCTATCTTTGGCATGTCGCTGGGAGAGAAACCGAGCAAAGCTTGCTGTGTTTCTCTTCACGCTGGCGAGCAGATTCAATAGGTGCATCTAATGCCTGGGTGTTCGAAGCATGTGTACTGCTTGTCCAGCACCCCAGAAATCACAAGGCTTTTGTTGCTGATGCCTTCAGGCGGCTGCGGATGCTGAGCTTCTTGCCCTCAATGGCATCTCGGCGGCTCTGAGCCCTTTCCTTGCGGAACACAGTTCAAGTTCTCCTTGCGCCCACAAGACCTCGTTTGAAGCTCGCAAGCAGGGCGTACCGAATCCCAGGTTTTCTTGGCCAGTGTACAGACCTAAGAATGACTGTCATTGCGGGAAGTCGACTAGATTAAGGTATCACGGCTGTCTGCGCGATTGGCGCTCGGATCCTCTGCTGCCTCTTATGGGAGCTTACCTGGTTCATATCTACTATGATGAGCAGAACTGTTTCGCAGAACACGAAAATTATCTACACATAGAAGGACCGCAATTTCTTCCTTCCTCTGCGCTGAACCGTTTCAGGTTGCGGGCCCCCAATGTAGGACATGCCTGAATCGGGTCGTGGAACGCCGAGCTCAAGGCTTTGAGCTTTCCAGCTGTTCTTTCATATCTTTTTGGACATGTTGCAGGCTCTCAGGCTTTCGATCCAGCAGTCGTGCCGGCATGAAACGCCAGATCAGCGAGTGTCGACTGCGAGGCCCTACAACCATCCTGGCCTCGTCTACCACCACGTCTCGGTTGAGGACTGTCCGTTGCCCAACCTGCCGATCAAGCTGCAATTGATGTTTTCAGTTCGGGTATGTGTGTGTGTGTGTGTGTCGCAGATATGCGTGCTCCCGACTGGATGCCGGCTCGGTATAGCATGTTGTTGCCTGACGGATCGGATCAGAAATGACGCAGTCTAGCGAGAGGGAATTTGAAGCGATTCCCGGCGTAGGATGATGGCAATACATGCTTGCTCGGCATGGGGTCTCACGTGCCCACCAACCTACCGGAAGGGATGACACACACACACACATTTGCGCGCGCGCGCAAGCACACATTTGTAAAATGCTCATGAATACGTCGGCGCATAAGCTTCACAAGCACATGTGCATGTACCCAAATGCATATAGGAAATATCATTCATCCATCCAGCCAGCCAGCCATCTATCCATCTATCCATTAATCTACCCATTCATGCATGCATTCCCTCCCTCCCTCCCTCCCGCCCGCCCGCCCGCCCTCCCTCCCTCCCTCCCTCCCCCAGTTACTCATTCCTTCACTCCTTCGTCCACTCACGCACTCAGTGACTGACATTCATTCAGTCATTCCTTTAGTATCCTTCCATATGCTCAAGCGCACAGTTCCAAACAAGCAGCATTGAATGCCATGTGCCATTTACTGAATATAGCCTCTGAGGCCCGTATGCACGGAGGGATGCTCCCGCCTGGAATTTTTCCTGGGCAGGATGATGGAGGCAGCTCCATGCTACCTTTTCTGGAGGCCCCGACACTTTCCTCCGAAACAACTTCCACGCTCAAAGCCGTGAGTGTGCAGTGGCCAATGCGCGCAATCAGGCAGAGGGCACCGGCAGTTTCGAGTAATTAGTGGTTTCAACACGGAAGCTGGACCCAAAGCCGAATCCAAATTCAAGCATCAAGACTCATCGTGCAGAGAAGTGCACAGAAAAGGATGTCTTGGCAAGGCAAGCTGCGACTTCATCCACGCACAAGCACGTCAGGGAGCGGTCCTTGTTCACTGCAAGGCCTCGATCAAAGCAAAATAGAAAGGATGAGCAAGTCACGGGAAACCCTTCACCGGCAGGGTGGCATCAGCCGCTCTCCCTCGCTACTGGTGGCATATCTGATGACTCCAGGATGCAGCCAACTTTCCATGTCCGGAAATACTTCGGGATGACTTCAACTCATGAGTACTGTGTCGCGGGTCGAGCTCCGCAGGAAGGGCAGCAGTCAAGGCGTTATGATACAGAATCAGAGGAGTGCTTTCTCGTGAAACGCCATAAGGACTACCTGCCCCGCGCTCGCAATCACACCATTGAAAGCAGATAGGCATACTAGAGGCACTGCCCTGCACCCATCTCAGGAAGTATGAGCAGCTGGCTCTTTCCGAAGCCTTCGAGGTCTGCAGTGCCTCACTAAGCCTGCATTGCACCTCAGCGGCGAACCCGGAGCAGACGACCACTCGAGGCCTGGCGCAGCCGGCGGCACGCTGCCCGGAGAACTTCCAGCGCGATCTCGAGGTTTTCACTAAGAGCGGCCTTTTTTAAGCTGTGGCTGTGGCTCACCGGCCTGACACGGCAGTTTCAGTTCAAGTCTGTAGGGGCCGGGCAGAGGGCGCCATGTCCGCCATGTTCCAGACGCTTGCTTTTACAGCTTTGGCAACTGTAGCCGTAGCCTCAGCAGACTGTGCGGTCCAGGCAGAGGCCGCCGAAGCCTCGCTCTTTCAGTCGCGAGCTCGGCTCGCCAAGCTGCGCCCTGTCACTGAAACTGGAGCTCTCGGGACTCTCGATAATCCCGTGCACCAGACGGACTTCAATCTCATTTCTCGCTTCGTCAGGGCCTTCTACGAAGCTTGTCAGGTGGTGGGTCTTACACTTCTACCGTGGAGACCTTTCCTTTGACCGTGGTGAAAATGAACAACTTCAGCTCTTTGGGACTTGGTGTGACGAGCTACTGGCCCATGTTGAGCCCGGATTTCTTCGAAGCAGACACTTACTTGCCGTACACATCGGATGAGTACACTTTCCTCATCCGATGGCAAGCAGACCTGGATTTACGCATCGGGCTGTTCGCTGCCTCAACGATCCTCTACAAAATCACGCCGATGCCAATCGCTTACTATGCCTACACTGCCAGCGCTGCCCGAATCAGCATTCAACAAGGGCCGCAGATGCCATTTGTACAGGGTTATGGGGACAACTGGCAGGATGATGGTTTTGCGGGGCAGCTGGTAGGGAACACCTTCCTTGCGTGCATGCTGGAGAAGTCTGAAGATGGCTGGACTTTGGACCTGTCAGGTGCAGGCACTTCAGCAGCACCTGTCCAGGTGATGAAGCGCAAAGCTGTTTCGGTTGCACCTGCCAGTTTGTTGAAAGCCATCGGCCACTTTAAGTGCGCAGACACGGAATGTGCGAACGCACGAAGCTTGCACGTGGTCGCCATTGAAGTTCAAGACCCTTCATCCGGCATGATGCGTTTCTCACCCGAGGATGGTGCACAATGGAGCCTTGCCAAGACCACCTTGTACGCTTTAGCCATCTTTGTGATAGAATGCTATCACACGGGCATCCACCTCTTCGCCGGCGCAGTCACCTCAGCCATCCGGAAAGCCGTTCCAGCCGGCACTTCCCTGGGCCAAGCAGTGAGCCCGAACACCCTTCAGACTATTTTTGCACTCTTCGAGCAGGCACTTTGACACACCTTGCTTGGCATGCTCGAGTGTCGGACGAACCCTTTGAGGTGTTCCTTTCTCCTTTCTAGGATGCAACTCTCCACGAAGCCCAAAGCTTTTGCACAACTCTTAACCCCCCACTTTGAGAGCTCGCAGGCAGCCATCCTGCACTCCACTCATGGCTCGGTCTTCTCGGGAACGGTGTGGTCTTGTAACATCACAGCGGTTTGGGCTGTGACCAGGGAGATGAGCCAGTACTTCCTGAACACAGCGCCCCAGGACATTTTGGGCATGAGCGAAGATAGCCCAGATTGGTGGGCTGGGAGATCCTCCGCCTTCATAGAGCCCATCTCGACTTTTGCAAGCTTCGCGGCGGAGCAGGCAGTGAACCAGGCTTCTGAGCAATCCGTCCTGCAGAATCTGCAAGAAGAACTGGAGTCGATCGGTATTTGGACTCCTCAGAGCTCCTTGAACGTGACTTCTAAGGAAGGCTTGGCCGCTTTGGTCAGGAACTTCCTCTTCGTGGCCGCCATCTGTCACTCGCACATGTACCTGACGCGTGAGGTCTTCACGCCTCTCGCTGGCTTTACTGACACGGAGCCTTTCCTTCCCTACCTGAGGAGAAAGCACACTCTTTTGGGCTTTTGGGCTATCGTAGAGCTGTGCTTCCCAACTGTTCCAGCCACAGTGAACGAGATGATGATAGTCGCTTACGCCACGGCCTCTGGATTCACGAAGGGAGTGCCAGAACTTGGTGATGGGAAGTATCCCAACAGTACAGAGCTTAACGGTGCCGTGGCCAGCTTCCAGCAGGGTCTGAAACGGTGCCGGCAGGAAGTGTACGAGATGTTCGGTGGTTTTCATAACAAGACTTTTGTTCCAGGGTACCTGTATCCTGTGGATGTGCCCAAGCCATTTGGCTATGCCATCACACAGACCGCATATGTGTGAGTGCTTCAAAGGTAAGCACTTGCTTTCCTGCCCTGAGGCTGAGTTGAAGTCCTTCTGCTTGACAGCGTGAGGGCAGCATGTTTCTGAAGCACGTTGTACAGCTGGAGTTTGTTCGACATCAACTTCAGATCACTCCGACGCTCGAGCCTGCGGGTAGTTTCAAAACTGCTTGCCCCATGGTTTAACGTAACCCTCATTGGTACGAACCGATGCTTTCTGCCTGCATTTTGGCAAGTCTTGTTACGCGGGCTTGCCGCAGACCTGCAGTCATGCCCCAGTGCTGCTTCATGCCACTCCGGAGACTGCCCTAGCAGCTATCGCTTCTCACGTCTTTTCCCGAAAAGGCCTGGGCGAAGCAGCTTGAAGAGCCCGAGGAGCGGAGCTCGGGCTGGGACTTTAGAGCCCGAGACTCCTGGAGGGTAGGGCCGTCTCGGGATACCAATTAGCTGGTAGGTGAAGAGTTGAGCAGTTAAGCCGGTCTCGCTGCAGAGTTACGGCGACTGTTCTTCAAGGGGTCCAAATCAGTTGAAAGTATCTCGCAGCTGCAGCTCTGGACATTGCATCCTCGGCTTTTGAGGACGACGCTGCAGAAGGCGGCGGTGCAACAGTTGAGGCATTGGATGCCGGTTAAGGTATCAGGGCTACTGTGTGCAAACATCTTTCCAGCATTTGTCGGTTTTGGATGTGAGGATAATGCATGTTCCTCCGCTTTTGTGTCATCTGCACGGGTATCACTGGTGGCCAGCGGCCAGTGACAAACCCGCTGCTCCCTGTGTACAGCATGCAGCAATCCGACACCGGACCTTGTACAGATGCGCCCCGCCTGGTCACCGAGTAAAAGGAGGTCCGGCTCGAACTGCTGGACTTGAGCAACGAGTCATGACTTCGCGAGCTGCCGCCCATCTTTAAGCCCGGGAAGCCTAGCCTAAAGACTTTGTGAAAGACTGTACATTATGTTTAGTTAATTTTTTTATGTTGCATGCTGGAAGTGATTAAAAATTTCTGGCTTTTGAAGTATACTGTGTGTGCTATTCTGTTACCTGATAGATTCTATCACATTCTATTTTATTCTGGCGTCTTACAGTCGACGCCGTTTGCAGCTTCGTGTGTTGTATTTTGCGTATTGTACTGTTGTAGGTTACGATGTATTTTGTCGTGTTAAAGTATATTAGACTACACTGTACATTAGTTCATATCTTATTATGTTATACCACATCGTGTCATACCACATCATACTATGCACTGATATCGTATAATATGCCGTTAAACTACATTCAGACTACAGTATCGTATTGTCTTGTCTTGTGTTGTATTATACCGTACTCTAGTGTACCATTGTCGTTCGCGTCATGTTACAAGGTGTTGTAAGAGGCTAAGTTATGATCTATCCCATTATATTATATCATGCAGTGGTGCGTGGAACCCTGCTTAGTGATTCGCTCAGCAATGCAGGAGGCAAAGACATCATACATTATATTATACTATATAGTATAACATGTGGGAGCCAAAATATTATACTATGTCATAATATATTATACTGTGTTGTGCCTCATTATAGGTTTACATGATGTCATATAACATCAGATAATATAGTATATCATGTTATGTGATATTATGTATATGATATATTATATGTAATATAATACGCATTTGTTATCTTATATTCTATATTATGTTTGATAGAAACTATTATCATGTTTTACACTTTTTATATTATCTTATCTTGTGTTCTGTTATCTTAGATCATGTTACTATGTTGTATAATGCTACATACTACATACTATATACTGTGTAATTGACACTGCACACTATGCACACTACCAACTCTTTGCTATGTTATGTTCCTAGGTTATATTCCTGTATATTCTGCCATGCCCTGTTCTACTCTATGATATTATGTCCAGTTATGTTAGTATAACACCCCTTTGGGAGCCCCAAGCAACCATCGCTTTTCTCATCGGCTCGGAGGCCAGGCCCCTCTCGGTGCAGGCCTGGAGCTGGCAATCCAGGGAGGCTCTGCAAGGACTCATCTAAAACATTTTTTGGAAGGCTTGTTTAGTAGTACCATGAGATTCCTGAATCTACCATGATAGCATAAGAATATCTCCTGATATTGCAATACGCCTGTCATCATACTAGGACAAGCCCCTATCCCCCATTCTAATGATTACGGCCCGAATCTTACAACTGAGTAGCATCATGCAGCCTGTGAGCAACGAAGTTTTTTGCTCCAGTAAGTCCATGGGGTATCGAGAGGTCGAAGTGTTCTGTAAAGTCATGGATATCGGTGAGCTGAAGTATCAGAGAGAGTCAGCCCGGCTGCTGCCACCACAAGCCACGCAGCAACCCGGACCATCACCCTTGAAGACCTCACTTTACAGGGACTCCCCAAGCCCCTGCTGCAGTGCCGCCGATGTCGGACAGTGTTTCCTCGGATCCGGCATCCCCCTCCAGGCCGCTTGCAGGGCCTCAGGGCTCAAATATGATTGCCATGTTTCGGCACGGCTGATATCTCAGTAGTCTGCGAGACCCCTAGCTTTGTCTGGGACAACCAATCGAAGTTTCAAGAGGAAGTGGTCCAGCTGAGGGAGAGGGGCAGAGAGCGGACCATCAGGGAGTGCAGAGACAAGACTGGGAACGACCGAACTGAATGAACATTCGTGGGATCCCTGGTTGAGGCCCAGCCGTCCGTCGATGCCAGGTGTGGCAGCTGTCGGTGCAAAGCAGGTGGGAACAAGGAATTCTTGCCCCAAGACTTGCGTTTCGCAAGTGCGAGGCAGCACATGCTGTACTTCAAGCTGGAAAGCAGTGGCCTGTGCAATCGTGTGTAGTTTATCCATGTTTACATTGTCGTCGCAGCTACGACAACGAGCTTCATGCACCTCCATGTTGTCGCCATTGCAAAGCCAGGTCGTGCGGGGGCGCCGCCTTTTCCACGAATTCCAGACCGCTGTCACTGCAACATCCGAGCGGGTAGGCCGGGTAATTATCGTATATTCAAGGCCGCAAGATCCAACTATGTGGTGTTATGATATGGATAAAGATGTTTCCAGACCGGTTGAACCGCTAAAGGAACCTTGGCATGTGCAGGAAACATCTGCGCACACGGGAGATGAGTTCAGAGAGAGAGAGAGAGAGATCGATCGGCAAGGGCAGTGTCTTGCCAAAAGCCGGGTGTCGTCAGAAGTTCACACAACTCCGAGCGGGCACCCAACATGTATTCTCAGTACTTGCTTGCCACTACGGCCCTGCCCCCACGGAGGCGACCTCACCAACAGAACCGGGCGACCCACCCAACCAACGTACAGACAAACCCCTCCGTCAAAAGGATGGATGGGGACGCACTTCGGCGCGAGTTGGGGGGGAACCCCTGAATCTTACCCCGAGCAAAGCAAAGCAAAAGAGAGATCGATCGGGTGGGCTGGACGCCCGGGGATCTTGACCGATCCCCATGCCCGGGAGAGAGAGATAGAGAGGTGTAGGTTAGATGTTTGTTGGGGGATAATCGAGCTGCGCGCGAGGCGACGACCGCTCCAACCCCCTCATGAGGGCCGGACCACCTCACTGCTGGGAGCCACGGGGGTAGGCTTACGGGGCCAGGGGTTGGGCCCTCATACCCCTTGCAAGCAAGGAATCGAGAGAGAGAGAGAGAGACCGGGCATCTTTTGCCGGCATTTCTGGATTGGCTCAGACTTTTGGAGCGAAACGGAAGAGCAGGGAAAGAGTCTGTGGAGACCAGGACTGCAGGGAGGTCCGGATCCAGCAGAGGCTCAGGGAAGATCCTGAAGGGCTCCAATAGTACTGATGAGCCTTGCAGGTAATTCAAAAAGTTGTGGTTGCAGGGCGCTGGGCCATCGCAGCCGAAGTTTTCCTTCGGGGTGTCGGGAGCCTGCTTCACAAACATGCTCATGCATCAATGTGGCATTGGGCGGGTGGAAAACATCGATGTGGAATGTCACACAATACCCTGCCTGGCGGCGCAGCAATGCGGGAGCAAAAAGCGATCTGGAAGTCTTAGACGGTTTGATGTGCACGTCTGTGGGCCTCAATGCGCCATGCTTAGGTGAGGTATGATGATTCTTGATTGTCACGACCAGGCACTGAGGGCGCCAAGATGTGGGCCAAGAGTGGAGAGGCCGGGTCAAGCGAGGGTAAGGGGTCCTTAAGCCCAAACCAGCAGGGGAGGGCCTAGATTTGCGTTTTCCTTAAAGTATTCTATCAGGTCATGCCATATCTTATCATCTCATACCACGTGAGATTATACCGCAGTCGAGTCAGTTGCCTTCGAATCTATAAAATCATATCCTGTATTATTCTGTACCTTGTACCCTAAACCCTAAACCCTAAACCCTGCGCCCTACTTTTGCTTCGTTTCCCAGGCCTGGGCCACCGTAGACTCCCGGCTCGGCCTCGGCGCCGCGGTCGCCGGCGCCGCGGCGGCAGCCGAGCAGCGTCTGCAGCTGCGGGAAAAGGCCCTTGTTTTGTAGGGGCTTTATGGGGGGGGGGGTTACTAAGTTTTGCAGGGGCTTGATAGGGTTCTATTAGGGTTCCGTCGAGTCTTGCAGGATTTAGGGCTTTGGGCAAAGCTTCCTGGGCGTGGGCTTGTGGTGAATGTGCGCGATCTTCATTTCAGTTCGTGCTTGAACCCGTTCAGCTGCAGCTTGTCACAAATTGTTTTGCACAGTTCGCGAGTGATTACCTTGAGCGACTCCTCGCAGAAGAAGCGGGGCAGAGAATTTGCCAAGAAGGTTCTATGCCACTTGTGCCGGGAGGTCGCAGCTGCAGACCGTCGCTTGCAGCTCTCGGCTAGAGCGCAGGCATTTTGAGCAACTAAAACCTCAATGGTCTTGGCACTAAGGTTTCGAGGGTTTGAAAGGTCTGATTCGGTATGATGCTGTTGTGTTGCCAGGAGCTGTCGCAAGATTTGCGGACCTTCAAAGATAAGGCCGCGGCTCGGCATGCACTGACTGAGCTTTCCCCCGATCTCGCAATCCATTGCG